ACTGTGTCACTTGAACTTACACTATCGAGTATATGGTGATAGACTGCCATGGCCTCCATGTGCCGTCCGGCTGTAGCAAAGGCATTAATCAGCACATTCAGCATTATTAGATTTGTTTCAATTCCTTCTGCTTCCATGAGCTGCAGTACTCTCACAGTTTGTTCACATAATCCCTGAATTTAAGAGGGGGGTGGGGTGGGGGAGGGGGGGATGGTTAAAAAGAGAGAAAATGTTAACTCTGCAGCATTGAGGATAATCTGGAACATGAAATTCAATCAGATATAGAAAGCGATAAAAAAAAAAAGAAAAAAAAGTAACATTAACAAATAATTGTGTACATAAAACTTTGAATAATCAAGTGCTGGATTATCTAAGTCTATATTTTCCAAAAGTTTTAGCTGATTTTGCACAATTTCCTTCTCCCTCTTCATTATCTTGAACTTACATAATAACCGTATCGCATTTAAAATACGGGTTATCCACCAGAATTATAAAAAATCAAACAAAACACTGTTCATGCTCGTTGAGATGGTTCGTGCTACATCAAGATAATTTGGCCAGACATGAAATAGACCTGCTGAGCATAAGCATTTGCCAGAACACAAAAAATATCAGGCGTCAGCTGAATGCCTTCCGATTTTAGAGCTCGTACACAATCCTCAGCATTTTCGAACTTCCCATAGTGCCCATAAATATCGACTAAAACGGCATAAACGGCACTGCTCTTTTCTTGTCCTCTGTGTTTCATAATCTCGAAAATTCTCTTCACTTCTTCCCACTTCCCTTGCTCCCCAAGACTCGAAATAATGGTCATGAAAATCTTCGGGTCCGGATAAAGCCCTAGTTCCTGCATCCTACTAAACAAATCAAGAGCACCAACATAATCCCCAAATTTAAAATGCCATCGAATTAAAGAACTCCAGATTCTAATACCCGGATTTGTACGATCCTCTAGCATTTTCTCAAAAGCCTCCATAGCCTCACTCAATTCCCCTTGCTTCCCAAAAGTATCAATGATGCTAAAATATATTTTCCGATCCAAACCCACCCCATTTGCCTGCACCTCGCTCAAAATCCTAATTGCTTTTTTCCACATCCCATTATCCCTATAAATCTCGATAATCTTACTATACACGTACGAATTCGGAGAATATCCCTTTCTTTTCATCTCGGCTATCAAGAGCCACGTGTCGTTCAATCGTCCCGCGCTCACGTAGTAATCAATCAAAATTTCAAACGTTTTATGATTCTTCTCTAAACCCGACTTGTCCATGGCTGTTAGCAATCTATCACAGAGGTCTAACAGGCTTTTCTTCAAACAGCTTCTGAGCATGGCATTGAACAGCCTGATTTTTGGCCTACAGCCCGAAATCGTCATTTCTTGAAAAATCGCATCTGCTTCTAGCGTCCTACCTACCTCTGCAAGCCCGGTTATCAAACAGGAATAAGAACCCGGGTCGGGCCGGCAGCCCAAGGCCTCCATTCGAGCTAGTGTGGACATGGCTTCATCGATTTCTCTTCCTTCACACAGTTCACGTAGGGTTTCATTGTACACAACACAAGAAAGCTCTTTTGAGGTGCAGCCTGCGTGCCCGTAAATCGTATCGATCGAATAATCGACCGATTCTGAAACTGGGTGTTTTGCTGATCTGCAATTGGGGGCTAGTGAGGAGATTTGAGCAATGGGTTTAGAGCGTTTGCCATTGAGGTTTAGAGAAAACTGAAATAAGGGTCGAAATTTTTCGAAAATGGAGAGTGAGTGAGGTTTAGAGAGAAGCATAAGCTTCATCTCCATGGTTTTGTCGCGGGATGAAGCTTTGAGCTTCGCGCGCTCATATGAAACGGTATATATACATTAGTTTTATTTTTTAAAAACAAATAAATTATGAAAATAAAAAAATATATAGGGCCGATTCAAACG